TAACAGAAGTTATCTCAGGACACCGGTAAATTAGAAGGCAAGTCAGGTGAAGTCATCAACTATTTTATCGTTTGATGTGTAAAATGCAGCAGCTTTTAGGAATGGTGTAAATGTATATGTATGTATAGGTATATGCCTGCTATATTCTATGAAGACTTTCTGTCAACTCTCAGTCTTGTTTATGTTTCTTACGAGCTTTCAGTTTGATTGGTGCCCAGTCGCTGCGACTCTCCAGAACCTCCAGCAGCCGCGAGCAGAGGTGGACTTGACTGACATAGTCCAGCATCATTGAGAGGATCGGACCGGCTACATAGCAGAAAGTTGAGCAGTAGATGGCCTCGCAGAACTGAAACAAGACAGAGGACAGCCTTTATCTATCAGTCACATGCACTGATTTGTGCCTGATATTTCTGACTCACCAGAATGCTGCGCTGTGGTGGTTCATCTTCGTTGACCTGCATTTCTTCTATCGGGCGGCGTGATGGTATGATGGCCGGATGTGGTTTTTGGCCATACGGGCAGTCAAAGCAGGGCTGGGCATCACAGCCATTGTCTAGCAGTAGTTTGAGCATGGGCAGACACTCTATGCTGAGCAGGATGGCCGACGGGAATGAGGACGGCTGGGTAGAGATCTGAGCATTGACGTTGGCACCATACTTCAGCAGCACCGCTGCCATGTCCATCCAGCCTAGCCGAACAGCAATAAGCAGCGGGTTGAAGACATCCAGGTTGGGGTTGGCTCCCGCCTCCAGCAGCATCTCGGTGGCCTCCAGGTTCCCATTGTAGACGGAAAAGTACAGCGCCGTGCTCCGCCGGTCCTCGTACATGCTTGAGCGTTCCTCTGACAGCTTGGCATTGACGTCGAAGCCAGATTTGATAAGCAGCTCTATGATGTCATCCCTGTTCTTCTGTGCAGCAAGGTGCAGAGGACTGATGCCACTGTTCCTGACTCTGACACTACTGGTCATTGGGATCAGCATCAACACAATTCTGGAAATACAAAAGGTAGCTGTCAGGAAGGACCTGATATCAGCAGCAGAGGCAACAGAGTTAACAAACAGAAACACAGGACAGTTGATAAAAGTGAAACAGGACTTTCAAACTCATACAGCCAAATTCCAGACCGTGTGTGATTATTCTGAACAGCCACATGAAGAGGCAGCAGGCCAGACTTCATGGATCGGTTAGCATCAGCTTTCAGAGAAAGCAGCACCTCCACAGCGGAAACATGACCGTTCTTACAGGCTTCAAACAGTGGCGAGGCTCCATCCAGTGCCTGTCCATTTATATCTGCACCTGAGATACACAAACACACCTTCAGAAAAACTTTAACATCAGATACTGAAGGTAACTCAAGAACAGGTGTGTAGGGCTGACCTCTCTTAGCAAGCAGGTGGATGATATCGGCATGCCCATGCTGTGCAGCAATGAAGAACGGTTGGATGCCGTAGATATTTCTGGTGTGTAGATAGGCTCCAGCCTCTAGTAACACCCTGCAGAGCTCCAGTTGTCCATGTCTGCATGCTTCATGAAGAGCACTTCCTCCCTGACTGCAGGAGCGATTCACCTGAGCTCCAGACCTCAGCAGAAGATCTACAGCGGCTTTGTTCGTATGTTCGCAGGCTGAAAAAAACAGAACCAGATGCTAAGTTAAATAAACAGCACAAAGCCTCCTGATTTTAACCCTATCAACTATTTTAAGGTCAATGGTTTCCTTTTACATCAATGACATCACTGTATATTTCAGCAGGCTCTATCATGTCAGCTGGGATGTCATCTCACCTATGAACAGTGGCGTCTCTCGGTCCTTGGTGGCGATGTCCGGGTCGGCTCCATGCTTCAGGAGAAAGTCGACACAGGAAACATTTCCTCGACCAACAGCCAGCAGCAGAGCGGTCTGATTCTTTGAACTGCATCTGTTGACTGAGTCGGGATGAGCTGGGGACAGTAAGAGGTCAAAGGTCAAACAACTTTCAAGGTCAACTATGGTAAGGATGCCACCTGCCATAAACTTGCAATTACAGTGTTGACTGACTTTGGTAAGTGCAGTGTTAAAGCGTTATAACAGACAAGTATAAGACCACATCCTGAACTTTTGCACAAAAAGTACTTAAGCACACCTCATCTGTTTACTTCTTCTTGCACTTCATTTCACATGACAGACTAGTAAAAAAAACAACCCTGCTTAACAATGGATGAGCCCTCTTAACCCTTCAGACAGCAATCTGTTAGAAGAAGATATGCAAACTCCTGAAGTCTCAGGATCCTCTCAATCACCAAACACCCCTCGTCGTCAGCTACCTCAGTTGCCCTGAAAGGTCCATATTCAGTGAAATGTCGTCTTCGACCACTCTGACAACAAAGCAAAACTGTTCACAGACTCTCAGCAAATTTCCATTCTCCCTCGCTGAGCTTCACGCACACTTTCGGATTCCCAGTGTTGTGTCCGTGGCAAGGGCAATGATATTACAACACATCCCACAGCCAAAGAAACCCAGTCTTCCACATCAGCCCTCTCAGAGGGCCAGATCATATCAAACACTGTCCCTTCTTTCACTGTTTCTCATTCCTTATCTTTTCCTTCAGGCTTCATTAACAACCTGAGCACATCCATCCCTTCATCCTTTCTTCTTCTCTAGCTTCTAACTTTCCCATCTTTCTTTGGCCACCTCAGCTCCTCCCTCTTCAATACAGCCATCCCAGTCACACAGACAGCACCCATGACAGCGATCCATGGTGCTGACATCAGCCACAATTCATTGTCCCCCTCCATGAAGTACAGAACGATTGCTATCTCCCTCATCCACATCGCAGGACAAGGAGCCTGGTTGTCCAAGACAGACATCACCAGTGCCTTCAAAGTCCTTCCCAACCACCCTAACTGATACAAAAGCGGCCTGAAAATATTAAACTCTTTATCTGACGTACCAATCTCATTTCGGATTTCTTCTGGCTCATACATGCACCAAATGCCAACTTCAATCTCTGCTAGGCTACCTCAACTATGCCATTAGCATCACCCCCCAAGATCCATCCCTCTTATCATTCCCCCTTTCAATAACCACCTCTGTGGAAGAACTGGCAACCCACGTACCGAGGCTGAGTCCTTGCTGCATTGGCCCAGGGTTCGAATCCGACCTGCGGCCCTTTGCTGCGTGTCATCCCCTCTCTCTGCCCCCCTTTCCTGTCTGTCTTCAGCTGTCACTATCATAAAGGCAATAA